TAAAATTTCTTAGTAAATTATAAAAACTGTAATAATTAAAGTTATTCTTTATGATAAATTTTATAATATTCTATTATAATTAATATTGCTTAAAATAAATGTTAATAAGATGATAAAAGGTCAATAATAAAATTTTTTAATTATAATTTTTTTAAAAATTACAAATTTTTAGTTTATAAGTAACTTTAAATTATTTATTATATAATTAAAAAATAAAATTTACTATAATATTAGTTATATTTATTTTTAATTTTTCATAAAAGTAAATCTAAAGGAAATTTATAGTAAATAAGCAGGCAAATTTGTTTGCGAACTTCTACAGTTTAAGAAATAATATTTTTATATAAAAACTGATGAAATATTTTTAAGGTTATTTAATAATGTTTCAGGCAAAACCATTTTTTGATTAATAAAATATTTTGCCTTTTTTAGTTAAATTCTAAAATTCTTGCCTAAACATTTGTAAGCTTTGAAACCTGCTTAAATTTTTAAAACTTGTCTAAATTTCTGTATACTCTGAAACTTCTAAAACTTGCTCAAATTTTATAATTCTGAAACTTCCATTACCTCTAATATCACATATTCTTTAGTTTTAGATGACACAAATTTATAGACTAGCTTTATTGTAATATAATAAAAAATTATCAACATCGAAACTAATGTGCAATTAAAAATTATATGATTGAATAAAAACAATTGATAAAAAATTGCCTAAAGATATTTTAACAAATCATTTATTAGTATAAAATACATCAATAAAACTTTAAAGGATTATACAGAATTAACTATATTATCAGCCTCAGCAATTGGATCCCACTCTATATTGATCTCATTTTCTTGTTCAGCTATATTTTGAATACTATTTTATTTTTTTACTGAATTTTCTTCTAAACTATTATCTTCAATAATTTTATCTAAATTATTAATAAATACTTTTGCATTCAAATTCAAAACTCTGCTAATTATCAAATCATCTTTTTCATTATATGAATCTATTTTTTTATCGCCAATATTTTTAATATCTTGCTCCATAAAATCAATAAAATCTTCATCTGGATATAAATACATGTCAACCAAAATTTCACAAATCTGATTACTTGTTTTTTCTATACTATAATATGACAGTTTTTATTTTACGTGTATACAATAATAAGATGATAATTTGCATATATTTTTGATTTTGTTTAATCCCAATTGATTTCTTCTTTTACCATATATTCAGCCAATATTTGACCAAATTTGCTGACATCCAACTGTATAAGATGTCACTAATAATAGTTTAATTGCTAACTGTACCAAATAGTCTTTCCCTTCAGAAAATTATCTTTTATAGAAATCCATTAGTGAATTGATAACTCATTTTTGCTTAATTCAATGTCAAATAGAATTTTACGTTTATAAAATAATTTCATTTGATACATTAATTCATATTGATCACTTTCTGACTTTCCCATTTTTTTAAAAATTTTATCAACAATTAATAAGAACTCTCAAAAAGTTTTTTGTATCTAGTAAATATCTAAAGATAAGATTAAAATATTTTTAATTTAATATGCATTTATTTGACATTAATTAATTTTAATAAAAAAATAAAAAATTTACTTTTATAAACTGGATGTAAAAAAAAACACAATAAGTAAATCAGATCATCAAATTCAATATAACGTTTATTAAATATTGCAATATATTAGTGACAAAAATTATGATAATTGTTTTGAGATAATTTGTTGATGATAATGCCAAATTGAGCTAATCTAATAAACCAATCTCCAAGTGTACATGTTTGTGATTCTAATCATAAAATTGCTTTTTTAATAGGATGCAAAGCAAATACTAACATATAAACATCATCAAAAAAGTATAAGATCATAAAATTAACAAAATTGATATTGATAAAGATTTGTATAATCAGATTGTAACTAGTAAGAAAATAATTTTATAATTTAATAATAATATAAATTAATAAAATGTAATATAAATAATAATAATTTTAATATTTATCTTTATTAATACTTCTTTATAGCATTTAACAGAATTAACATAATCAAATATAGTATGCTATTGAGTATTAATCTATTATTTTAAATCTCCTCCATTTACTTGATAATTTTCTGCCTCTTTTTTTTAAGTTAAAACCTATTAGATTGAAATAAATATTTTGTAACGTACTTGTTATAATAAATTAAAAGAAAAACTATAAAAATCTTATCACTCTGATGATTTTTTAAAAAAAGTCACAATTGTATTGCATCAAATTAAAATCTGATTTGCAAAAGCAGTATTACATATATTCTTAGAAATTAAGTTAATTGCATAAGCAATACAACGAATTTTAAGAATATTTTGATATTTTTTAGTAATTATTTTACAGGCATTTTATATATTTATTCTTGCATCTATTACTATTGCCAAAATTTTTTTGGATTCTATTTTTTTAATTACTTCTTCTATTTCATTCGCTAAGAAAAGTCTAATATAAGATTCATCTGACACATTTTTTAAACACTATAAATATTCTTTATGAGTAGGTGTATAAATAAGAAAATTTTAAATAGATTTATTTGTTAGATTAATCTATTTATCATATACTTTATATTTTAAAAAAATAGTGAGTTTATATTAAATAATAAAACAAAATAATTCTATTACAGTCAGACCTCTCTAAATGCACCCTCTATAAATGCACACCCTTTTTAAATGCACACAATGTTCTGATTCCAAGCTTGGGACTTAGAGGCTAAATGCACCCTCCAAGTTCTGCACGTGCAAGAAATTTTTCTGTTCTTTGATATGACAATTTGATCTCTAAATGCACGTCATGTGACTATTTTATAAAATAATAGGACTGTTGAAAATTTGATATTTTTTTTATTCATTAATTTAGTACACATGCAGCTTTTTTTTCGGCTTTGACTCTTTAGCATCATTATAATCTTGCA